TCCACTGCCTTCAAGAATCGCCCTTGGGAGAATCTCTGATTTACTAAACAACAGTGACTTTAATAAAGTACCAGAACAACCAGTGGCAATGTTAATTAGAATTGAGATCTCCTGACACTTTTGCTTTACTTCATCAATTCTTCCATTCCTCAAAAGAGCTGTTAAGAACAACTATTTCAAGTGGCTAAACTACTTTTGGTAAAGCAACAGTCCGTGACTGGTACAAGTTTGTATGCATATGTGTGTGTTGGGGTGAAGATGGACAGACAGAGACAGACAGAGAGACACAGAGAAAGAGACAGAGAAAGAGAGACAGAGAGACATAGAGAGAGAGAGAAAGAGAAAGAGAGAGAAAGAGCGCACCAGAGGCAGAAAGTTGACAGAGGGAGAAAGGAGTTTATAAGTAGAATCTTCTTTCCTCTAGTGTTAGGTGTGGAGTTGAATATCTACGTAATTCAGAGAGAAGGGTTATAGATTACAGTTCTAGTATTTCTGTTAGGGGATTAGTAGTTCAGTGGCCCAGCAAGGACACAATAATGAGGAAGTGTAAAGAGAAGAAGAAGAAATAGTTAAAACTGACTCATTCTCTTCTGTTCCAAAATAGAAAGTCCAAAATTCCTTCTTCATATATTAACTTGCCTATTTTGGACTAAGACCATCTCAATGATAAATATTCTTCAAGTAGTGCATGGTTTGTTTAAAATAACGAAGATGAGTGAACTTCAGACACTCTATGTTACATACTTTTGCTAGTGGAACTATGGCATTTTCTAGTTCAAACTGGCATATTTTAGGTTCTTTCTCTTCAGAAAAATAAAAGCTAACAATGCAACAAAAATTTTTCCTTTTCTCCTTTTTATTCCTCAAAAGTGGTAGAAGGGTAGATTACAGGTGTAAGTAATAGTAACGCTCATTTGAGCTTCACTTTCACATAAGAAACTCTGACTTCGACTGACGTTATACATGTGACTGGACATTTGATCCTATATTTTGCATTTCTTTAAATACGGACACAAAATTTCGCTTTTGAAAACTTGACAGAAATCCTTTCTTCTTCCATATTTATTTACTTCCTTCATGATCCAAGATAAAGAGTATGAGGGATGATAAATATTTGTGTCATTTCTTCTGGTCAGTAGACAATTTCCTGCTCTACAAACAGAGCCGAAAGACTCAGGAGAGCAGATTTTAGATGCCATAAACCAAAAGAGAGGCTTCAGGATTTTGAAGCAGAGGACAGTGAAAGTATGGTATAAATTCAGTTTACACTCTAAATTTATTAGAAGATTCATGTCAGATTGTCAAAGACACTATAAGATATATATGAGGAGAAATTTGTATTAGGTGTTCAGTGAAAGTTTAATTGTGGACTAATTGTTTCATTTCTATGTATCTCACAGATTCTTCTTCCTGTGCCCACACTTCGAAATGTTTGGATTCCCCAGGGTCCCATCTCAGTTTCTTTTTCATCTCAGTTTCCACTCCAATGTCTTTAATGTCAGGCTCGAATCCCATAAAATCTTTTTAGTTCCAGACCTACAATTCCAACAGTCTACTGGCTGGTCAGTTGGATGTCCCAGAGCACATCTAACCTAACACAGTCAAAATTTAATTCCTGACTTTCCCTTCTCAACCTTGCTCTACACCTCATACTGTCTATCTCAGTAAATGATCCCTCAGTCACCCAAGCTCAAAGCCTTGCAGTCATCACTGGATCTTCCATGATGCAAACTGAATCACATTACCTCTATCTTCAAGAAAATGATGAAAAGATACCCACCACATAATGTTGACAACCTAACCATGATGTCGCAGATACTGTCCATTGCTTATGCAACATCATTCCCCTCTTATCTCTGGTAACAGATTGTCAATTCCATTTCCAGAGGGAAGACAGAGGCCCCATTGACTTAGGGGAAAGAAAGGCTCTCTACAAATCCATGGAAATCCCATTCTCCTTCACTCAGTGATTGGCCCAAAGAACATGTTTCCCAATTCTGACCAATTAGATGGAAGGGCAAGTCTTCTCAGCCATGATGCCCAGAACTGTGTAGTCAGCTCCTGATCATGAAAACAATTATCAAGAGCAGCAGGGGAGTTGTGAAGACAGAAAGTTCTTGGGTCATTGATGACATCCCTGAGCAGCTGCAAAACACCTGGAGCTGCCTACCTCCAGACTTGATGCTATGGGAGCCAAGGCCATTATTGCTTACGCTGCTGGTAATTTGTACTTTATAGCTAAAAACATTTCTAATTAGTAAGCAAAACCCTTCAGGTTTTTGCTATCTGGTCACCACCTACCTTTGTAGTTTCTTTAGTCAATCTTCCCCAACCCTTCACACCAAACATGCTTTGTTCCATCCTTTAGACTTTTAGGTTTTCATCCAGAAGGCAGGTTTCTTTCTTTATCTTCCTGATGACCAGCCCTTTATGTTTTGAGCTGTAGTTAAAGTGTTACCTCCTCAAGCAATTATATTTTATCCACCAAAAGCCCCTGTTATTTCTGCCAAAATCATACTCTCCCAGGAAGAAGTAATTGATTTCTCTTCTGCTATGGTTCAGATATGGTCTGTCCCCACCAACACTCATGTTGAAACTTGATCCTCAATGTGGTCATGTTGAGAGGTGGGGCGCAGTGGGAGATGTTTGGGTCATGGTGGTGGATCCCTCATGAATGGCTTGGTGCTGTTCTGGAGATAGTGATGAGAGTTGGTTGTTATAAAGCCAGGATGTCCATCTCAAATGTATCCATCTTCCCTCTGACCTTCCACCATGTTTTGACCCAGCTCAAAAGTCCTCACTTCATAGTGAGCAAATGACAGTGCCATGCTTCTTGAACTTCCCAGCCTGCAGAACTATAAGCTAAATAAACCTCTTTTCTTTATAAATTACCCAGCCTTCGGTACTCTGTTATAGTACCACAAAATGGACTAGGACGTCTTCTGTTTCACATGTTATTTCTATATAACACAAGTGATTTGGTGCATCAACTTGACTAGGTTAAGGGATGTCCAAATAGCTGGTAAAACATTATTTCTAGGTGTATCTGGGAGGGTGTTTCTGGAAGAGATTAGTATTTAAATCAGTAGGCTGAGTGAGTAAAGAAAATCACCCTCACCAATGTGAGTGGGCATTATCTAATCCTTTGAGGGCCTGAATGGAACAAAAAGGAGGAGGAAGGGCAAAGTCACTCTCTCTTCTTGAGCTGGAACATCCATCTTCTCCTGCACTTGGACATCAGCACTCTGGTTTTTGAAACTTTGGACTCAGATTAGGACTTACACCATTGGCTCCCCTGTCTTTGGCACCTTTGAGCTTGGACTAGCACTATAACACTGGCTTTTCTGGGGCTCCAATTTGCAGATAGCAGATCATGGGACTTCTAAGCCTCCACAATTATGTGAACCCACCCCTCATAAGAAAGATTTTTCTGTATGTCTATAAATATCCTATTGGTTGTATTTCTCTGGAGAACCCTGACTGCAACACACATTATACTGCAATTATCTATTTGTCTGCCTTGCACTAGACTTTGATCACCTAATTGCAAGGATATCCTATTCATCTTTGTACTCTCTGTTCATAGAACAATGGCTTTTACAAACTAGACACACAGGCAATACTTCTGGTTTTTACAAAATACATCTCTGGTCACAATAGGAGCATATATTGTTCACATATTTTGAAAGAAACTGGTATAAACTTACATAATTCCTTAGAAATTACTAAGAAGCCTCCAAATTAATCATAAGCCCCAAATAAATAGTGATGTCAACCTTTTTGGGAGGAGTGACTTCCCCCTGACACACACACACACACACAAACCTATTTGTTCTCTGTTTCTTTTTTTTTTTTTGACAAAATGCATAAATATTTTCCTCTCATATACCTATAGCAATTTATACTTTGCCATAAAAATACATTTTGAAATTTCTGCTAAATTTACATAATGTTCCTTTTGCCAGATTTTCACTCATGCTTTAAAATTTATTATGCACATGATATAGGCTATGGCTCCACCACCAAGGCTTTAAGTTACATGTGAAGTCTGGGGAAGCCATTGCTTTGCCCCTGCCTGGGGACTGTTCCAGGAATATCCCTCACCGAGTGCAGAGATCAGACATCCTGTTCCAATTTTAACTTGTACATGACTGAGAGACCACAGGCTAAATTCATGTAAATTGCTTTCTAAGATGAGTATCAGAGTTGAAAAGAACATTAAAGGGTTGATCTTTTCTTCAGAGCCCTAACATTCTTAAGAAATAGAAACCTGAAAACTATAGGAGGTTTTTTGATTATTTGTTGTCTATTTCAATTGACAGCTATCTGTGAGTCCAGCATGAAGATTCATCAGTTCAAAGCAAACACATACTGCTTTTTAAAAAAATTGATGTTTAATAATAGCTATCTATTAACCATTCCAAATTGCATTACAGATTTGAAGTTCAACTTATGAAATTTAAAGGTATATTAGATTAATATTTTTTATCTCTTTTAGTTTAGATTCGGAAACTTAGTACCATGCATAATGACCACTGTCTTCAGCTCACCACTTCAGATACCTCATAAAATCTACTTTCTCTACCGTCTTCAGATTATCTTTCTTACATTTCTGTCCTCAATTTTACTTTTGTTCATTTTTAACTAGTTTCCTAATTTTTTTTATGCAAAGGGGACATAAACTCTAAATCACCCAAACTTCATAAATTAAAATTGCTTTAGATGAGGCCTCTGAATGTTTTTGAAGAAATTTATTTGAGTTGTCAGGGATGCTGCCTTGCGTGACTCCAAAAAGCACCATTCACTTATCTATGATCTCTGTGAATAGTTGTATCCTGCAGTGGTACAATATACCGTTGTATTTCTTCATGTAACCTATGTGAAGGACTATTTATGTTGTTTCATTGAGTAGAAACAGAGATGATTCTAAGTGATAACTGCATGAGAGTAGTTTCTAGAGACAGGAGGGATTACTATCTAAAGGCCATCATCCTTCTTACCTGAACTGTGGTTTCCTGCCAACAAGGTGGGGCTCACAGAGCATCTTCCCAATCTACTGGTGACCACAGGTGGACCTGGTGTTCCATCCCATTCCTGAGCTTTGACAGGCTCTCTGGAGGAAGATGCCCCATGGTGGCCTCTCTCCTTGTTGTCCAACTTTGGTAATGGCTCCGTGCTGTGGCTTCGGACTTTCAGCTCCTCTGTTGATTCTGTGTATTAACCAAAACAACATTCTGTTAAATAAAAGTCAAGTTCATCCCAAATTACTTTAAAAAATTAAAGTGTGATTTTCTAAAATACTTTCAGTGTATTGTTGGAAACATAGGCTTATGTTGGACACTACACCATTTAAATATAAAAGGGACATAGATTCCACCAGGCCTTTTTTCCTAGGTGTATCGGTTAATAAAGCTGTGAAATACAGTTTTCTCTTTGGAAAAAGAGTACCTCAGTGAATCTTGAGTCTTCTTCGGTAACTCTTCCCTTATGCTCATCTTCAAGGAAATGTCTAACAGAGCACTTTATACTCCCTCTCTTTACTTTCTCATCTTTTACACTTCAACACCCACTGTGACACACTTTCAGCCAAACCACTCGACTCAAGCTGCTTTTTGCTAAGATCACGTAGTGCCTTTTAGCTGGAAAATCTGGAAGACATTTTTCAGCCACTAGACAACTCTTTGATTACTCACTTATTTGTATCTTCAATTCTCTTGGCTTCACTGATGGCCCACCTTCCTGTGTTGTGTTCCAGGTCTAACACCTTTTCTGTGTCATTTACACTTTCTCTTCCTCCACGCATCCCACACACACTGGTTGTCTCCAAGGCACTAGCTTAGCCACTGTTCTCTCGTTCTCTATGTGCTCTTCCTGTGATTTTATCCTCCAGGATTCAGCCAGCCATCATCTGATTGTTAGTAATTTCTAAATATTTTATCAGATGCCTGGGCCATTCTTCTTATCTTCAGATTCAATTATTCAACTGCCTGCTGGATGAGTCCATCTGGGAGCCCCAGGGGTAACACAAATTTAACATTTTAGATGCTGAACTGATGACACTTTTTACTAAACTACTGGTTCTTCCCATTCTGGCAACTATCCAAGCTAGAAGCTTGTCTCTTCCTTTCTTTCACTGCTACTCCCCAAATCCATCAGTCACGAGATTCTGCAGATTTTATTTCTGAATATCTTGCTCTCCCTCCTCTTACCCTTTGTATCATGTCTACTTCAACTGCTCTAGTTCAAGCTCTAATCATCTCCCTTGAATCATTGCAACTTGTCTCTGACTCTGTCCTTGACTCCCCAAAGTACAAGCTCCTTATAAGTGCCAAAGTGATCTGTTTAAAATGCAAATCTGATCATAATGTACCCCTGATTAAAATCTTCCCAGAAGCCTCCCTTTACCCCCAGAATAATATCTAAGCTTCTTAATATGACCTGTAAGAATCTCCACTACTTTGCTCTTCCCTTCTTCTCTAACTTTGTCACTCCCTGACAAACATTGTATTCAAGGAACGCCACTGAATTGGTTGTAGCTTCTTCCTCCCATCTCCATCCCCAACAATAACAAAGCTATTTTCTACAGCTACTACCTCCCCTGCTTTGAATATCCTTGTATATTGTCTTTGCTTAACTAACTCTACTCAGACCTGGTCACTCAATTTAAGTATCCTCTGAAGCATTCCCCACCCATATCACCACCCCTGCTGGGTTACTGTCATCTCTGCATGACACTGCCTTATATTGCTATGTATCTGCTCTCCCCCAAGAGACCCTGTGTTCTTGGAAGGCAGATACGGAGTTCTGGGAGTTTTTTGCATTTTTTAAATTTGGTGACTCCATCACCTAGCGTATTGCTTGATAGGAATTTAATTTTATTTCTTTACTTATGT